AAAGGAGAGGAGAGGAGAGGAGAGGAGAGGAGAGGAGAGGAGAGGAAGCAGTGGTGGGATTCAAATTTTTTTACTACCGGTTCTGTGGGCGTGACTTGGTGGGTGTGGCAGGGGAAGGATACTGTAAAATCTCTAATCAGAGGTGGGATTTGCCGGTTCTCCGAACTACTCGAAATTTCTGTTCCCGACATCTTCTTTGGTTTCTTTTTTGTCTTTTGTCATTATGCTTTCCGTTTTCGTTTCCCTGCTTGCAACCAGCCCCTATCCAATAATAAGCAGGTTCTATACTAGGTTAAACTAAGGTTGAATTAAGGCCAGATTCATCGAAGGACCATGTGATTCACTTAACTGAAGTGATTCGTTTAATAACCCTGGCAAAAGAGGTCATGAAATCAAGTGCGATTGACTTAACAATTCACTTAACTCAACCTGTACTTGATTTATACCCTTCAATTCTCAGAAGGAGGAGAAAGGCAAATTAATGTAATAAAACAGCCTTTTTCTGTCTGGAGCTGTTGGCAATCTGGCTTTGTCCTTTTACATACACACACACACACACACACACACACACACACACACCACACACACACACACACACACACACACACATTTTCCTCAGCTAAAGCAATAAAAATGTCTTAGTCACAGAAAAGTATGTAAAAGACTCCAGAACTTCCTTTCAGAGTGCTTTTTTTCCTTTGTTCTCGTTCCATGCCCCAGACGGTTACATCAAATTGCCAACCTTTTAAAATGTATGAATCATCTGCTTTTTAAGTGTTTCATCTGTTTACTGGGGATTACATTTTAACAAATGTGTCGTCTTATCCGATCTTTTGTAGTGGCTGCTGTGGAAAGTTTTCGTTGAGCAGGAAGTACACAGCCTTTTACAAGAAGTGAACTTCAAAACTCCGAATAACACACTTGGCTGTGATTTGCTGAGTTGGGTGCTATGACAAACCCTGAATGAATGAACTGGAGACCAGAAGTAAGGAAAGGCACTCTGTGTGCAAAACAAACAAAAAACGAAAGCACAGTTGTGACAATTCTTCCCATCCTTCCAAACTAATATTACGGGTAAAATATTTGTAGCTCAGGGTTGAACTGTGGGATCCTTGATGCTCTCTGAGCTTGATTGTTTTCTTGCAGACATTTCATCACCCAACTAGGTAACATCATCAATGCAAGAAAGGAGTGAGTATTCTATTTTATTTCTATTCTATTGAATACTAGCTCGATACCCGTTGCTTCACTACGAAACTATGTGGTCGGGCTTAGTTTTGGGGGAAGAAAATAAGGGGAAAAAATTCTGCCTCTGCCTACCAGCATCCATTGGTATTCATCTGGCTAGCGTCCTGTCAGTGTGTGAGAGGGTTGAGGGCTACCTGGAAACAGAAACAGCATTTGCTCTGAGCTTGGTTGTTTGCTTGCAGAGGTTGTCACTACCCAACTTGGTCAATCATCAATGCTACCTAACACGGATCATCATCCCCACGGCTGATGTTACTTAGCTAGGTAATGAAACTTCTCCAAGAAAACAAGGATGCTTAGAGGATTCCAAGGATGTGATACTCCAAAATGCTGTAAGATTATGTTCTCTTTGAGAAACACTTCTTTCTGTATTGATACCTTCTTCTGAGAATTGTCAAACTTTTATCTTGATGGCATTGATGTTGATTTGGTTTTAGAGGTGGTGAAAAATCCAACTTCTATAGGAAATTTCTACAATAGCAACGAAGGTGATTAGGAGACCAGAGACTAAAACATGAAGAATGGTTTCAGGAATTGGGTATGTCTAATTTAATGGAGAGAAGGACTAGGGGTGACATGATAGCCATCTTCTTATATCTAAGGGGCTGCCACAAAGAAGAGGGGGTCAACCAGTGGTGGGATTCAAATTTTTTTACTATCGAGTCTGTGGACGTGGCTTGGTGGGCGTGGCAGGGGAAGGATACTGTAAAATCCCATTCCCTCCCTACTCCACTAACCTGCTTTCCAGCTCCATTCTCCTGGGCAGGGCAACCAAAGAAGACCCAGCTGACCAACTGGGACTTGGGAGGCAGAGAATAGAAGGGGGAGGGGCCAGTCAGAGGTGGCATTTGCCGGTTCTTCAAACTACACAAAATTTCCACTACCAATTCTCCAGAACTGGTCAGAACCTGCTGAATACCACCTCTGGGGTCAACTTATTCTCCAAAGTACCAGAAGGTAGGTCAAGAAGCAATGGATGGAAACTAATCAAGGAGAGAAGCGATCTAGAATTAAGGAGAATTTTCCTGTCAGTTAATGCAATTAATCAGTGGAACAGCTTCCCTCCAAAAGTTGTGGGTGCTTCAACACTGGAGGTTTTTATAAAGAGATTGGACAACCATTTGTCTGGAATAGTTTCATGCCTGAACAGGGGGATTGTGATGACCCAGGGTGGGATACAAAACAAACACAGTCACAGAAAAAAGGTGAAGCCCCTTTTATTCCTTCACTTTGTTTCCAAGCTCCGAATATTCTTGACGGAAGACAAAAAAAACTCCCACATAAACAGTTACAAGAAGAAGGAAAAAAGCAACACAACCAGGCAAGATAAGGGCTGGAGGATGTCCACAGATAACACACACTGGGAAGGACGCCAAACTCAGAGAGGAATCATAAACTAGAGATATTTCCACGCTTTGTTTTCAGCGCTCACCCATATGCATGTCCGTCCTCTTATTCAGTTGTCACAGCTGCAGCCCATGAAGAAGGTCAAGGCCCTCTCCTCCCGAGTAGACTACGTCTCTCCCTTATTCTCTCCTCCCTGCATGTCCTAGGATGGAGAGGGGATGGGCCTGGGTCCTCCTCTGACTGCCCGGCCGGCCTCTGCCCTTCCCCAGCCTCCTCCACAACTTCTATTCCCTGTCGGCTGTTCCTCCTCTGACTCAGAGTCAGTCATGACAGGGTTGGACTAGAAGACCTACAAGAGACCTTCCAAATCTGTCATTTTGTTATCTTTATACCTCTCCCTATGGATCACCAAGGGGGAAAACGTTATTTGTTAATTATCCCTGTCCTATTCAAAAGTCTTCCAGACTTTTAAAAATGGGGGGAACTCCATTGGCTCCACCGAGTGAGCCAATTCTTAGAAATTGCAATCCATATTGACCCTACATTGGAATATATTTCTTTTTCCTTCCTGAAAAAATGTGACTCCTAAGCAGTGAATATATTCCTGTTTGCACTCATCCTCGACCGGAGATTCTGGGGACATGAGGCATCCAAATTGACTCCCAGCGGGATCTGTGAAGGGAATGATACACTTCATTTGCACTTTTCAGATGAAATAAGCCGATCGTATCCTCGTAATATTTTTTTAAATTATTATTTCCCTGTTTGGCAATGCGATTTGAACGGTAATTGTGGGAAAACTGAACATCGAGGCAAACGTATAAAAATTGCAGACAGGGAAATGGGTTTATTCGGTGAGCCAGTGTGAGGCTGTCATGGATCAAATATGGATTGCCCTCACCGTCGGTGAATTGTACCATGGAGCCGCATGGGAGCCTCTTGGTTCTTGCGCAGGGAGGCATGTGAATTTGAAAACTGCTAGGATTGTAGCGGCGATGGAAGTAAAAACAGTCCTTGTCATTTCCTCATTAGCAGGTTTCTCTGTCTTTGCTGAAAAAGAAGTCAGCAATTTCAGACAACCATGAGCTATTTTTATAGCACCGCGATCCCCCCTCTGTAATTAATATGCGAATATCAGTCATTTATTCTCTTTGCTATGGATACGTTCACCCCTTCTGGAATGGGAAACAGAAGAGGTATTTTAGAACTTAGAATAACAGATTTCACAGATAATCAGAGTTGGAAGGTACCTTGTAGGTCATCTAGACCAACCTTGTAGGTCATCTTGTCCAGGAGACCCTACACCATTTCTGACAGATGGGAGTCCAATCTCTTCTTGAAAGTCTCAAGTGATGGCGCTCCCACAACTTCCAAGGACAATTTCTGTTCCATGGGTTGATTGTTCTCACTGTCAGAAAGTTTCTCCTTATTTCCAGGTTGAATCTCTCCTTGTTCAGTTTCCATCCATGATTCCTTGTCTGGCCTTCGGGTGCTTTGGAGAATAGCTTGACCCCTTCCTCTCTGTGGCAGCCCCTCAAATATTAAATATTAGATTAACAGAGTTGGAAGGGGACTTGTAGGTCATCTAGTCCAACCACCTGCCCATTTCTGACAGATGGGAGTCTAGTCTCTTCTTGAAAGCCTCAAATGATGGTGCTCCCACAATTTCCAAGGGCAAGCTGTTCCAGGAAATTTCTTCTTATTTCTAGATCGAATCTCTCCTTGTTCAGTTTCCATCCATTGTTCCTTGTCTGGCCTTCAGGTGCTTTGGAGAATAGCTTGACCCCTTCCTCCTCTCTGTGGCAGCTGCTCAAATATCGGAAGACTGCTATCATGTCTTCCCTGGTCCTTCTCTTTACTAGACTAGCCAGGCCCAGTTAATGTAACCGTTCTTCATATGTTTTAGCCTCCAGTCCCCTAATCATCCTGGTTGCTCTTCTCTGTAGTTTTTCTAGAGTCTCATATAGTGTGGTGAACAGAACTGGATGCAGTACTCTAGGTGTGGTCTTACTAAGGCTTTATAGAGTGGTATTAGTACCTCCCTTGATCTCGATTGTATCCCTCTGTTAGTGCATCTATATATAACTTTATTGTCACTTTGAATGTACACATTAAAATGAAATTTCATCGCCTTCAGCTCTCCAAAGGGTCACCACTTCCAATACACACTACATGACCATGACAAAATAAATAAATAAATAAATGCAGCTAGTCCTCGACTTACAACCACAATCGAGCCCAACATTTCTGTTGCTAAGTGAGACATTTGTTAAGTGAGCTTTGCCCCATTTTATGATGCCCTACTTTCTTGCCACAGCTGTTAAGTGAATCACCTCCTGTGTTAAATGAGTGACACGGTCGTTAAATGAATCTGGAATCCCCAATGGACTTTGCTTCTCAGAAGGTCGCAAAAGGGGATCACATGACATGGCAACCATCATAAATGTTTTTGGGGTTTTGGGATTTAAGAAAACACGGGTAATGAAACCGGTTTAATGACAGAGCTCTTAAAGCATGGAAGCGCTAGAAATAGTCCTTGACTTACGACTACTACTGAGCCCAAAATTTCTGTTGGTAAGCAAAGTAGTTCTTAAATGAGTCCATTTCTGCTGAAAGAAGTAGAATTTTGCTCTCTCGTATACAACACCCCCACCCCCTAAAAAAAAACCCGGAAAGAGAAAATATGATAATGTTTTCAACAAACCATATGTGTGAATTCTCAATGGATGTCTGGTGTTTCCTAGTCTAATCAAACTAGCTTACATCAAGGCTAGGATTTCCGGCCATAATTTTGAGTACATTTGCAATTCGGTTTGGATGATAACCATAAATAATTGACTCTGGTTCCTATTTGTTGGGCAAAGTAGCTCCATTGGGAGGTACAGCCAGCTGCAAAACACCCCATTTATTTATTAAATTTACATGCCATTCATCTACCCTACTGGTGACCCTAGATGGCTTACAACCAAGTACTCATTTAGTGAGCCTCGGTGGCGCAGTGGTTAGAGTGCAGTACTACAGGCTACTTCTGCTGACTGCTGGCTGCCTGAAATTTGTCTGTTCAAATCCCACCAGGCTCAAGGTTGACTCAGCCTTCCATCCTTCTGAGGTGGGTAAAATGAGGACCCAGATTGTTGGGGGCAAGAGGCTGACTCTGTAAACCGCTTAGAGAGGGCTGTAAAGCACTGTGAAGAAGTATATAAATCTAAGTGCTATTGCTATTGCTATCTGACATTTGATCACATGTCCATTGGACACTGCTATGGTTGTACGTATGACAAACAGTCACTAAGTCACTTTTTTCAATGATGTTGTAACTTCGAATGGTCATTGAATGAACTGTTGTAAGTTGAGGACAAACTGTTAAATAATTATGTATATACCCACATATATGAGATGACACAGAGAAATTTGATACGGAGATCAAACTCAGGTGAAATAGTTGTAGTTATGTGTTATTACAGCATCCGTCCACTATCACTGCTTGGAAGATGGATCCAGAAGTACGTGATAATGATATGATCCATTGAGTCGTATCCAATTCTTGGAAAGAATTCCTGCACTGCTTCTTTGAGTTGTTCTGTGCTATGGTTGGTATCAGCTTTGATGGTGTCCAGTCACCATGTTCTTTCCTGAATGGGTTTCCCTTTACCGCTAACTCTTCCCAACACAACTGCTTTCTCCAGTGAATTTCCCCCCATGACATGGCCAAGATGTGAGATGCAGTTTTGTGGTTTTCCTTACAGGGTCATGTCTGGTGTTATGCTCTCCAAACCGGCCACCAAAGTGGGATTGTTCATAACAATAGTACTTTGTCACGCCCCTGGTGGAGACTGACTCTGAGGGAGAGGAGGAACAGCTGACAGGGAGTGGAAGTGTGGCTCCAGAGGTTGTGGAGGAGGCTGGGGAAGGGCAGAGGCCCACTGGGCAGTCAGAGGAGGACCCAGGCCCATTCCCTCTGCATCCTAGGGCATGCAGGGAGGAGAGGATAAGGGAGAGACACGGTCTACTTGAGAGGAGAGGGCCATGATCCTCTTCATGGGCTGCAGCTGTGACAACTGAATAAGAAGCAGGACATGCGTATGGAGGAATGCTGGAAACAAAGCGTGGAAATATCTCTAGTTTATGGTTCCTCTCTGAGTTTGGTGTTCTTCTTTCTGAGTCTTGGTGTCCTGTTATCTATGGACGCCCTCCAGCCCTTATCTTGCCTGGTTTGTGTTGCTTTTTTCCTCCTTCTTGTAACTGCTTGTGTGTGAGTTTTTTGTCTTCCATCAAGAAGAATATTCGAAGCTTGGAAGCAAAGTGAAAGAATAAAAGGGGCTTCACCAATTTTCTGTGACTGTGTTTATTATGTATTCCACCCTGGCTCATCACACACTTAGACTTATTGTATATATCACTTCACAGTGCTATACAGCCCCCTCTAAGCAGTTTACAGAGTCAGCCTCTTGCCTCCAACAATCTGGCTCCACATTTTACCCACTTTGGAAAGATGGAAAGCTGAGTCAACTTTGAGCCAGTCAGGATCAAACTCCTAGAGCAAGCAATGAGTTAGCTCTGCAGTACTGCCTTTTAACCACTGCACTACTGCAGCTCAATGCAATAGAGATAACTTGTTAAATGTATGGGCAGCACAGAGGATATTTTATGAATGCAACTGGATTTAAATTCAGCTGTGGGATCAGAGAATATTTGTAGCTCATGGTTGAATTCTGGGGCCTTTGGTTGTTTTCTTACCTACCCAACTAGGTAACGTCATCAGTGTTAGAAGGGGGTGGGGGTTTGTCTCTTTGTATAATAGAGGTTTACCTTGTCAGTGTTGGTGGGAGTAGTCTTGATGGTTACTTGATTAGATTGTTGTTTACTGTTTGATAGTTTGTCTTGAATTGGTAGTTCTTTGATTGGGGTGTTGTTTACAGCTTGGTTGTTCACCTAATCTTAATCTTGGTGTTAATCTCCGCTTATCTGACTAATTGTTAATTGCTGTTTTGGTCTTTTTGTTTCCTTTTTAGCTTTTGGGTTGTCTTTTTTCAAAGGCATGTAGACATTGTTATCCTCTGTGTACCTGAAGATAGCTGTTTTGTATGAATTTCCAAGAATTCCCTAGCATTTTTAGACAAAAAATAAGCTAATACATTTGGACAAAATAAATTAAGTCAACTTTATATTTTGTTCAACTTTGTCCCCCTGTCCACTCAATTAATCCTATCCCTTGCTTTTTCTGGAAATTAATTTTTTATATCACCCAGAGAGTTTCTACAGTAAATGTTCAAACTGCTAGGTTTCCCCCATCACATGGAATTATCTGTAGCTGAAAGAAACAAGGTGGGAAACACACCTAAAACATTCAGAAGAGAGAACTGGGTAGTTGGGTGATTCCCAGTCTTCTTCTTCTCCTTCTCCTCCTCCTTCTCCTCTTCCTCCTCCTCCTCCTCCTTCTTCCTCTTCCTCTTCCTCCTCCTCTTCTTCTTCCTCCTCCTCCTTCTTTCTCTTCCTCCTCCTCCTTCTCCTTCTCCTTCTCCTCCTCCTCCTCCTCCTCCTCCTTCCTCCTCCTTCTTCCTCTTCCCCCTCCTCCTCCTCTTCTTCCTCCTCCTCCTCCCTTCTCCTCCTCTATTAACAACCCCAGAATCTCTTGTGGGGTGGAGTCTGGCCAACCGAATGGAACTGAGTGTTTACTGGCCAGATACCCTTCCTGTTGCCAATGCGGAGTTTTATTCAGCAGATATATTCCCAGTGTTCCCAGAGAGATAAATATCTGCCTCTACCTAGGATAGAACTCACAGCCTCCTGGGTGAATGCTAATTAAAGCCATTGGAGAGTTTGGAATATTAAAGTCAAGAGACTTTAATATTTCCTCTTGAGTTAATGACCAGCCTGATTTAATGACCTCTCTCTTGAACTAATCACTACCATGGGAGTGGATTTGTTAATTTCAATTTCTCACTTTCTTGCTCTTTAATACAGTTTACCCTATTTCTGAATCAGGTTGATGTGTATTTTTAAGAAGTCAGTACAGTTTCACTTCTTTTTTTTCATTCACTTTGTGTGAGTAACACAGCAAACATTATTGCTAGATAAATCCTGAAGGGCTATGAAATTTCAGTAGGAAAATAGATTTGAACATGAACAATTCTGCAACTTCTAACAAGGCTCAAGGGGTTTCTTGGCCTTCTTTTATTAATTTTATTGAGATTATCCTAATATAAAATACAAATGAAAAAGATAGAAGGGGAAATAGGGAATGAA